GGCGGTTCCCATCCCAGGGGCGAGGTAGGCCGCCCTGCGCGGCGGGGTGCTTGGCGGGTCTGCCTACCCCTCCGATCACAGGCGCTCTGGGCTTGACTCCCTCTCGTTTTCTCTGTTGCAGCGAGTGCCACAACTCCTCAGATCGGATCAAAGTGCGGGTGTGGGATGAGGACAACGACTTGAAGAGCAAGCTGCGACAGAAGCTCACCCGCGAGTCAGATGACTTCCTCGGCCAGACCATCATTGAGGTGAGCTTCTTCTTTTTTTGCGTCTCGTGCTTTCTGAAAGTGTTGGCCGCCTGCTCACGTTCTTCTTCTACGCGCCCAGGTGCGGACGCTCTCGGGCGAGATGGACGTCTGGTACAACCTGGAGAAGCGTACGGACAAGTCAGCCGTGTCGGGCGCCATCCGGCTGCACATCAGCGTGGAGATCAAGGGCGAGGAGAAGGTGGCGCCTTACCACATCCAGTACACGTGCCTGCACGAGAACCTCTTCCACTCGCTGTGCGAGGAGAACGGCGGCGCCGTGGTGCTGCCGCAGGTCAAGGGCGACGAGGCGTGGAAGACGTACTTCGAGCCGTCGGCGCAGGACATCGTGGACGAGTTCGCCATGCGCTACGGCATCGAGAGCATCTACCAGGCCATGACGTGAGTATGGAATTCTCTGCAGCCCGACCCGGGCGAGCGCTTTTGCTCAGGGCTCACCCCGTCTTTTCTGCCCTCAGCCACTTCCACTGCCTGTCCACCAAGTACCTCTGCCCTGGCGTGCCCGCGGTCATGAGCACTCTGCTCGCCAACATCAACGCCTACTATGCGCACACCACGGCCTCATCTGCCGTTTCGGCCTCTGACCGATTCGCTGCATCCAATTTTGGAGTGAGTGGTTTTTTTTTTCTGCATCGCCTTGAGGTTGTGTGTTGTATAATTTTGTTTCCATAATGCGTGTCTTATCGTATCCACCAACAGAAAGAAAAGTTTGTTAAGCTACTTGACCAACTGCACAACTCTCTACGAATTGATTTGTCTATGTACCGAAACAATTTCCCAGCCTCAAGCCAAGAAAAGTTGATGGATCTGAAATCAACTGTTGACCTTTTAACAAGCATTACATTTTTCCGTATGAAAGTAAGTTAACTGATGATGATCTTCCTGAAACATATATCAAGTTTTTTTGGACACTTGCTACTTAAATTTTTAAGTTAGATTTAGTCTACAAATTCTTCATCCATCATTTTCATTTTTGACAGGTGCAAGAACTTTCGTCCCCTCCTCGAGCATCAACAGTAGTAAAGGATTGTGTAAAAGCATGTTTGCGCTCTACGTATCAATTTTTATTTGAAAACTGTTATGAACTGTACAGTCGAGAGTACCAGACAGATCCTAACGAGCCAAAACATGATGAGCCAGGTCCTCGGCTTGATTCTCTTGACTTCTGGCATAAAATCATTGCCTTGATTGTATCTGTGATTGAAGAGGACAAGAACTCATATGGACCTGTTCTAAACCAATTCCCTCAGGAGTTAAATATTGGAGCTGTAAGCTTGAAGCCAGTTTTTGATCTTTCTATTATTTATTGTCTTCAAATGTGTTTAATGTAACACCCCAAAAAATTCTTGCAGTTATCAGCATCTACCATGTGGTCTCAGTTTGCAATAGATATGAAATATGCATTAGAAGAACATGAGCAACATAGGCTCTGCAAATCATCTGCTTATATGAATCTTCACTTCAAGGTAAAGCCACTTACTGTTCCTCTTTCATTACTTCCAGCAGATCGCTTTCAGTAATAATGACAACTTTATCTGTTACAGGTGAAATGGATGCATACAAACTATGTAAAAGATGTTCCACCCTACAAGAATTGTGTTCCAGAGTATCCAGCTTGGTTTGAGCCATTTGTTATGCAATGGCTGAATGAAAATGATGATGTATCGCTTGAATATTTACATGGAGCTTACAACAGAGACAAGAAAGATGGGGTACGTACTATTCTCATCATAATTGTGAATTATCAAATTTTGTACAATATTCTGTCTTTTGAAAGGGATAAAAAAAGAAGAGGGTTTTTAATTAATGTTCTAATCTATCTTTCAGTTCCAAAGAAGTAGTGAGCATTCACTCTTTTCCTGCTCGGTTGTGGATGTATTTACACAGCTCACTCAGTGCTTTGATGTTGTGTCAAAGCTTGAGTGTCCAGACCCAGAAATTACAAAACGATATATGAAACGCTTTGCTAAGACAATAGTCAAAGTATTAGTAGCATATACTGACATTGTTAAGAAAGAGTTTGAAGTTAATGTAAAAGATGAAAGAGTTGTAAGTATTTTGAAGAGAGGATTTTTGATAAGGTTTTTGTCAACCACACTTCTAATGGTATTCTGTTTACAGGCATGTGTTATGATGAACAACATTCAACAGTTGAGAGTCCAATTAGAAAAAATGTTTGAATCTATGGGAGGAGAAAGTTTAGAGGAAGATGCTGCAAACATATTGAAAGAGTTGCAAGCAAATCTCAATAACTGTCTAGATGAGTTAGCAGTTTTGTTTGCTGTTAGGTACGAACCTGACAATTTTATGGCTTACATGATCTTATTCTACTTTTTACTCATAGTCATAACATTGTTAAAAAATGTTTTGTAAGTGCTCATAAAAGCTTAATTTTTTTTTTGTAGCCTGGAGACAAGAATTGAAAAGAGTGTAAAAGAGGTGGGAGATATCTTGTTATCAATAAAAGGAGGAGGACAAATTACTGGTATGAACCAGGCACCGGCCAGAGCAACTGTAAGTGCAGAAGCAGATGAAGTGTTAAGGCCGCTCATGGATCTTCTTGACGGTAAGTAACTACCTCCTCCCATTAAATCTGTCCAATTGTTATCAAAACTACTTTACTACAAATTTTGAAACTCTAAATTCTAGGTTCCTTATCACTTTATGCTGAATCATGTGAAAAGACAGTCTTGAAGAGGCTACTCAAGGAATTGTGGAAGATAGTTGTTCGCATTTTGGAGAAATCTGTAGTATTGCCACCCATGACAGATAAGAGTGTAAGTTTTCCTTTTTATTTTTGTTGTTGATTTATTGATGATAAAATCTAGTTTGTTCTCATGTTATCATACATTTCTGTCAATATTTAGATGATTTTGAAAAATTTGACGGACAATGCTAAGAATTTAGCTGCTAATGCCAAAATAGAAGATATGTCAAGGCTGTTCAAAAATCACATGGCGAGCAAACAAGATGTGAAGAATGCATTAAGTGGTGTCATGGTAGGTCAATTTCTAGTTTCATCCTTGTTATTAAGTGTACTGTTGCTTTGGAAACTTTCTAAAATCTATAACAAAATTCAGGTGGAGAAAAATCTATCACCCAAGCAGTGTGCTGTACTGGAAGTCGCCCTCGACACAATAAAGCAATATTTCCATGCTGGTGGTAACGGACTGAAAAAAGCATTTTTGGAAAAGAGCCCAGAACTTCAAAGTTTACGTTATGCTCTCTCGCTTTACACTCAAACAACAGATACGCTTATTAAAACATTTGTCACCACTCAACAAAATGAAGGTATGAACTGTTGGATATTTTTGTGTAATATCTATTTATCACTAACAGAGCATCATAAAATGGACTTTCTTGAAAATGTGTGTTCAATAACTTTTAAGGAAAAAAGGCAAATTTAAAAATGTTATTGGCAGTGGTACTAATTAGGATAATTGGTCCACTTCATTTGTTTCTTCATTGTCTTCAAAGTCTCGGGTTAGAAAGAAATGAGGGAGTTTTTAAGCAGAGTGTTGTTTTTAAGCTTTTCTCCCACTTCTGTTTTGTTTGGGTCTGCATCTTATGTTGTTGTTTTTCATTATTCGTTTCTGTTTCTTTATTCCTGGTTTTGTTCTCTTACTCACCTGTATCATGCCTCTCATAACTCTTGCATGCTCCCTTCTGTCTTTACATATTCTCTTCATTTCTGTTTGTCTTGTTTCTGTCTTTTTTCTCACATTCTTTGCCCTTATCTTTCATTCCATCCTCAAAGTCCCACAACCTGAAAACAAAAAGAGAGCATTACGACAAGTTTCTGTCTCGAGTGATCGCGAGGCAGAGGATGATGAAGACATTCTCGATGAAAGGCCTAGAAAGCCTACAGAACCTCAAGCAGGTAAAATCCTCCCATTCAGTATACAGCAATGACACAGAGTGACAATTATATAATAGATGAAGCAGACAGTTAACCAATACCATTTAGATGATGTAAATATTCTGTCAGTCCACCTTAGCCTTTGGGCTTTAGGTAGACTCAGTAGATGCTGAAATGTAACTGCTTTCATCAATAAGAAGTAATTCTGTAAACAAACTAAAAAAATAACTTTCATTTAGTGGGTTTGTAAAACGCATGCTGAAGTAAATTAACACTGCCGCAATATACATGAGAGCTTCATGCTTCTGTAACCACTCCAAAAGTATCAAACTTCGTTCACCTCACATATGGGGTCATCCAATTCTGCTAAGCACAATAGGTATATTTATCCCATCATCCCTCATCATTACATCTGTGAACATGGAAAATAATTTGGAATAACTCGCTCATTGTAGAAAAAACTGCTATTTAGGTCTAGTATGTAAGACCTGCAATGAAAACAAGAAGAAAAGCATTCATTGGTAGTTCTAGGTGAACATTATTGTTGCTAATATCTTAGGATTGTACAGCATCATACATTGTGTTAAAAGCTTTTTTGGCTATTTCTTAAAGTACAGATAAAAAATGTGGGTGGGCTTTGCACTAGAAAACTAATGTTTTTACTGTTGCAGTGTCTTATTTGCATTTTTGAAAAATGTGTCTAACAAATTCTATCCTCTTCAATTCTGTTTAGATAATATGAGTTTAGATGATGGCAGTGTTGGAGAAGTGTCCATCCAAGTTGATCTATTTACTCATCCTGGCACAGGAGAACACAAAGTCACAACAAAAGGTAGGAGTTGTAGGAATTTTATCTTATGTGTCAGCAGCCCAAAGGTTTTGTATATGTAACTAAGTGGTGTTGTTTTCTTTCTCATTTTTTTTAAAACTCCAGTTGTAGCAGCTAATGATCTAAAGTGGCCAACTGCATCTGGTATGTTTAGGCCTTTTGTAGAAGTGAATTTAATAGGCCCTCATTTAGCAGATAAGAAACGTAAACAGGCCACAAAGTCAAAATCGAATAATTGGTCTCCTAAGTTCAATGAGACATTCCACTTGTAAGTATCTTCAAAGTTTTTCATTCTCGTGAGGAGAAAAATTTTAATCCTAAATTTACCTCATAAACCATTTCATTTGCAGCACAATTGGTAACGAGGAGCAATTGGATTACTTTGAACTTCATATTTGTGTGAAAGATTACTGCTTTGCAAGAGATGATCGTCTTATTGGTGTTGCTGTTATGCAGTTGAAAGATATTGCTGATCAAGTAAGTTGGAGGCTTTCATGAAATTAATTTTTACATCGCATGCACAGCGGGCATAAGCAAGAATTATTTTCTCTTTGTAGGCCTCGTGTGCGCGGTGGCTTTCTCTAGGGAAACGCTGTAATATGGATGAAACTGGATGGACAATATTGCGTATTCTCTCCCAGAGAAACAATGACGAGGTGGCTAAGGAGTTTGTCAAATTAAAGTCAGACATCAGACAAGAAGAACCCATTCCACCAAATGCTTAGTATATCTGTGTTACTCCTTCTCGTCTTCCAATTTGAACTTTGTGACATAGATTCCAATTTTGTTGTTGAAGAAGACACTACATCAGTGGTTCTGCTTCACAGCTGACTTTATTCTTCTTCCTTGCATCCAGGAAAAATATTTGTTTTTGGACATTTTTATCCATTGTGACCAACAAAATTGTTATGTATTGAAAGAGTGATTTAATAAGTTCGTCACAATAGTCTTCCATGAAAAGCATCCCTGAACAGTTTTCCCTTCATCATCGACCTTAGAAAAGTTTTGATCCAAATGTGTACTCAGCATGGAAGCAAGCTAGTCCAGATTTCAAGAAACCAGAAGATTGAAATTCATCCACAATCGTTTGACTTTTAGATCCTTTGTACTTCAGTTCATACCTAGTTGCATTCCAATATCTTGGCTGTCTGATTTACACTTTAAGATTGCTTCCAGACTTATAGTCTTTGCTGAGTTCAATGGAGTTGCTCCATTTTGTACTTCCTACCTGACCCTCTAATTTTGTTTCACTTCCTATACTGCATCAGGAGGTTTCTTTTAATTTGAACTGTGTTATGTGATTAATTGCAGTGATATAACTTAAAATGTATATTTATATATACAAATAATAAAATGGCTGTATATATATCTATACAGAAAAGAAAAGTATGAAAAGAAGAAAACCATTCTCTTCCAGTATCAGGAGATTAAAATTTAACGGGATTCATTATTTCTGTTCATACTGTGTGCAAAAGACTGCTTGAAGGAACATACTGTTATCATTCATGTTTTGAATTGTATCTTGTTTAATTATTTCTACTTGTTTTGGTAGTTTACATCAATGCATTAGGAAATTGTTCTCTTACTTATAATTTTTTAAGCTCTTTTCATATCATCCTCTTAATTTATTTATTTCTTATGTAATGAAAAACAGTTTAGGGTTGTGATATCGCAGGGAACAGTAGGACTTCACGGGAATTGGAGGCACAAAATATCTCTATTAGTCAGAAAGATGTTAGAAATGCTGTTCCGCGAAAGATTCTCCCATACATTGCATGATTTTTTGCATATCATTGTTCTAAATGAGGTGATACTTTTGTTACTGCTGGGAGCGATCGCTGTCTGTTTCTGAGATCTCTTTCTATTGATTGATTATGTTGTCGGAGGGACAAAATACCTGCTAGTCACTGTTTACCTTGCAGTCCAAATTTTGCAGGAACTTGTAGAGTTTGCCTGAAATTCTGTCAGAGAGCAGCCACCCAAATCTGCTAATAATAAATTATCATACAAGTCCCTGACATTTCAGGTAAAACTTAAGAATTTTCTGCTGCAGGAGGTTTTTCCCCCCAGAACTTAAATTGCTTGGACTTTATTTTTATCTCAATTGTTCATGTTTGAATGGGTTGATGCAAATGTGTGTTTAGTTATAGTTTCATCTGAAGTGGTGTTTGAGGACTGTATTTTATTCGAGGCTCCAATATACTGTTTGTAAGACATGTCACTTGCAGAGGTTACCCTCTTCTGACAATAAAATGTTCAAATACGAGCCCCTTTTATCTTTGATGTTCTAATCTTTATTGATTTCTTTTTTTCTAAATTCTGTCTTTTCTTACCTTCCACTTTTGGTATTTCTACCTAGATATTTGTGATTTTTTGTCATGCACACTGTAAATATGTCATCAATTGTATAAATGTACATAAACCATCATTACAGCTTCAGGCATCTTTGAAAATTACAAAGTTGTAAATGATGATCATTTTAAATTTAGTATGTGTTTGGGCTGTTCATTTCTATAATGTAAATGAGTACTGAACGGAGCAATAGGGAAAGGGCTTCACTTTTTCATTTTTAAACGAGGAAGCTCAGCAAACACAGGGGAGTTGACTCCTGATTTGAAACACAACCTTGTTGTGTATCATTATATCAACTAACTGATCTTGCAACCAGTTTTGGCTACATGTTTTAAAGATTCCCAGATTTAACTGTTAGGTCCTGGACATATTGCTTGCTGAGGGGAAAATTTAGTTGCCCTCAAAGCATTTTAAAAGATCTGCTTTTTGATTGTGGTTATTATTATAGAAGCTCATACTGAAATTGTGACCCATTTGAGTTAAAAATGATTGTCATCAGTCAGTTTTGTTGACGACGAAGCAGAATTGTTGATTAATTGTGATAAAAATTTGTTGAACATTGTGTATAGTTTTGATGTTTATTTTCTTGACGTCTCCAGCAATAATGAAGCATTTCAAAAGGGTAACCATTAAGGTGTCGAAAAAAGTGCTTCGGCGTGTTATGGGCATTGTTCAAATTTATTTTAGCGATGGAATCCAATAAATTTTCTCTACCCTTGAATGATGTGTATAAACTTTAAGGAGACCGTGTCAAATCTACTTCAGTTTCACTCTTCATATCTTCATGGGGTTTGTAAACAGTAGAGGAGTTTGAGCCAAACTATATTTCAAGTGCCTTTTGTTATGCAATGCCTTCTCTCATTATTAAAATAAAAAGAGGATCATTTTTGAAGGATTATGTGAGGGGTACCTGTAAACTAAGTTTTGTTTTTACTGTTGTGTTTGTGTTTCATGTTCTGTTTTATATGAATAAATGGAGTGTATATTTAAATCCTTGTTTGTACATAGAAGTCTGTGTGTATATTCAAAATTGTATATATGTATCCAAAAACTCCTTTTGACTCATTATTGTTGTGCTCTTCACAATGCAGTACCACAAAATGTTACAATATCAAAAATTCATATCTGCTTTAAGCTATTTCAGCCAATATAAGATTTGAGTCTTTCATGTAAGATATGTGTGAAGTATTTTTACTTGAACTGTTTGTTAATAATCTGTAAAGCTTTCTTGTTCATTTGATATTTGTGTAAAATTGTCAAGGGTTCAGAAACTATAAGAGCTTAATTGAAACATGTTGTAAGCCTATTCACTTGCTTTGTGTTTTTTTTAAGCAAAGAAATTTTCTCAGCTAAAATAGCAGAGTGATTTTTAATTTTGTATTAAGCAGCATTTTCTTACTATAAACTAGTACACGAATTTAATTTTCTGTTTTAAATTAGAGCGTTAAAAATACGGCCAAAGCTAATTAATAAGGAGCAAAATAATTTCAATTGTTACCTCTGAGCGACTTCCTCAGTCCCCAAAATCAAAATGAATGTTTTATAAATAACACTGTCTTTTATAAAAATGCAACTAGTTATCAGAAAAAGAAATAAACTACTCTATGGATTCTGAAATTGTATAGAATTAACCCATAGAAATGAAATCAGCAGGTATTTTTCAGCGAGATTGGTAACTCCAGCACTCAGGCCGAGCAGAGCACAACTGCTGGCTCTATTATCTGCCTCGCACTGTACTGCTTAATGACCTTATCATTGTTAAGCAATCGTGTTGACATGTTTGTTTGCTAGTTGAATAAAAAAATGTTTCTATAACACAGTTTGTTAATTTAACATCCACGCCCCGGTTTGAGGTTGACTCCGTGCGGCTGGTAGTATTATAGGGGAAATCAGATCTTTGGGACACGTCCCTGTATGTGGCCACAAATCCGGCGGCCAGAGTCAGCTTAATCCGAGCCGACCATAGAGTATCGTTTTTTCGGGCAATATATGAATGTATGATATCCGACGCCCCAGAAGCCAAAGACCTGACGCAACTGCACAAACACTACGGGGCGCGGGGGCCTGGCGTGCTGATTGCCTACCCTCCAGGCGCTCGGAGCCACAACCCTCCCCGGCATCCCCCAACGTCCCCGTTTGACGCCTTTAAGTCACGACAAATACGATTCGGCTCCAAACGTCGTTACACACGGGCTGGTGCATATTTCTTAAAAGTCGCCAAATATAATTATTATTAATAGCAAATCGCCCATCATAGTTTATTATCCTGATCATTTCACTATTGTCACCATGGCACTTCCCTGGCGTTGCCGCCTGGAGCCACACAACGATGCACGGGACGGGAAGCATCCCCAAAGGATCACATCCTGGACAAGCGAGGCGGGATTGCCTAC